TATATATATATATATATATATGTATACAATTATTATTTTAGGAAGAGGATTTAGGATCCCCTCACATTTTTGGGGCCCTTGACATCAAGTATGAAAACTCTAACCCTGCGTCCCAATGTGCATACTAACTGTGCAACTAATAAAACTACTAATTTTACATATAATTTAGTATGGATAGTATGCACATTGGGACGCAGGCTTAGTATGGCATTGAAGGACACTGTTGTAGGCTACATAAATCACGTCAACTGCCCAACAGCTCTAGCGAGTAACAAAACTGCCTAAATGGATTGATGTGCTCTTGCTCTAACTGACAGCAGACGATTTTAACCATGCAAACCGTAGTTTACCTCAGAGCTTCGAGGACTAAGACAACACTTTCATTCAGTCTTTCCTTCGGTTTTGGTGTGTGTTTGTCTATTAGGGTCTAATACAAGCAGCTTTACTTTGCAGCAGCAGCATTATAAAGAACACAAGAACCGGCACAAAAACAATATCAGTTTTAGTACAGCAATTCTGTAGCCTTAAGACACTTGGTATTGCTACCATAGAAATATTACTCATAGAATAAGAATAATCCGTACGTAACACGTTCGCCATTGGCAAACAGCGGCAGCCAACAAGACAGGAGCCCACAGTGGACACATATTGGTACTGCAGGTGTTTTCTTAAAGGGAGAGTTCATCCAAAAATGAAACTCACCAGTCAACATTTACTCACCCCGTCTCTCCAAACCTTTAACCTCCCGAGACCCCTCATATGAGGACATTATATTTTAGTGAATTTCTCTGAGACTATACATGCCACAGTTTTAAGTCTGGATGTCCTGTACAGAGCACATTCAGGGCTTTTCAGAGATACTAAATGTTTGGATGTTTCACCATGACCACTCCTTGGTCTTCAAAAATGTCTGATATAAATTTAGTGACACTCTTATGGAAATATGATAATATTTTGTAGTTATCACTTAAATCGGACACATTTTTAAACTGTGTGTCATAAATCAACATCTCAGGAAAATGTTATGGGGTTTCAAATCAAAATATGACTTTCTGTTACGAAACAGGAGGTTGATTTCATACATGTCCTCATATGAGGACACCGGGACT